GTTTTATAGGCTATTTTTATTAAATAAATAGTATAAAGTAAAAAAAAAAGTAATTTATAAATAGTAATATATATACTTAATAATAATTAGGTATTTTAAACCTAAATTACACGCGTACTTTATAACTTTAAAAATTATATAAATAATATTAGGGCGTGTATAAACTATAAGTTAAATTAAATATTTTATTATAACTTAATAAAGCATTATATTATTTATAAAGGCCTGGCTATTATAATTTTTAAAAACCTTTTTTTTATAAAATGGCGTGGGAAAAGGCTTATAGTTTTTTAAGTTAAAATACTTAAAAATTTTAAAAATATAGGAGTATTATAATAAGAATATTTTATTTTTATTTATATTAAATAAAATATTAACGCCTAAGTAATCTTTAACTTGGCTATTATTTATTACTTTAAAAGTTTTAAAAACTTTTACTTAAAAGCTTTATATTAAGCATTATTTTTAAAAAATATAAAAATATTATTAATATATACAAGAACATATAGGCTATTTTTAATAAATATTAAATAATCTACATGCAGGCGTTTAAATCCCAAAAAAATAAAAGTTTTAAAAAAAAATATATTATTTTTTAGGCAATTACTTAAGGCTATATATTATTTTTAATAAAAGGCTATATTTACTAGCTTGCTTGTGGCTATTAAGAAGGTTAATATAAATTACCTTTTTAAATTTTATATAAAAAATATAGTAATAATATTTTAAAAGTATAATTATTAATTAAAAAGCACTATAAGTATAATAAATATCTTAAAAAATATAGGCTTTATTACTACGGTATATACTTTATAAAAATCCTTATTATAATATTACTTAAAGCCTTTTATAACTAGGCATGCTTTATAAGTACTATTATACTTAAGTTTAAAAATTTAGCAAGTTAATAATAGCTTTATATTTTTTTTTTATTAATAACATGCTAAGTGCTATTTCAAAGTAGCAAGTATATTTTTTTATAACATGCTTTATATTAAAGTTTTGTATTTTTATAATTAAACGCCTTTTTATATATTTAAGGTTTAAACTTAAAGAAATTAGGATTTTTAAATAGCATAGTATTAAATAATTTAGATATGGCTATAATAATTAAAGCGTTAATTTAGTACTAAATTTACTATATAATTTTATTAGTAATTACTAAGGGCGCCCTAGTAAAAAAAGCAAGGAATTTATTTTTTATTTTAGGATTAATATTAAAAAACTAAACACTATTTATATTTAGCACTTTTTTAAAATATTAAAATAGCTTTATAATGCGTGTAAAGTATTTAAAGGGCTTAAAACTATAAATCTTAGCTATAGTATAATACTTATATTTAATAAAAGTTAAATTATATATATTTTTTTATTAGGGATGTTCTCCACCATAAGAAAAGGTAAATATTAAGAATTTAAAAAAAAGCAAGTATTATTAAAATTATTTTTAGTAATAATTAAAGATAAAACGCCTGTTGCTTTATACTTTTTTATTTATATAGGGATTTTTTTATTAAAATTATAAGCGCTTTTTTAAACTACAGGCACTTTAATAAGCACTTTAGTAATTATTTATAAAAAAATTTAAGGCGTAAATAAAGGTAATTATAGTTATAATTTATTAATATAGTTATATAATTATAAAAACTTTATAAGCGTATATTTAGCTTTTTTAATACTGCTAATTTATTTATACTAATATATTAAGGTGTTAAGATTATATAAGGTAGTTACTTAAGGTAACTTAATATTATTAATTTTTTTAAAAATAATATCACGCATGTACTTAATTTTTTTTATTTTAATATTATAAATTTTATAAAAAAAGTTTAAATAACTAATAAAGCGGCCTTTAGCCATATAAAAATCTAGTTTTATTTAATATTTTTTTTAAAAATAAGATACTAGTATTTATAACCTAAAGCGTGTTACTTTAAGGTATTAGGTTATTTATTAATAAGAGCTTTGTAAAGTAATATTCCTATATAATTATTAAAAATATAGTTTTAAAAAAATATAATTATAAAAATAAGGTGCCCTTAAAAATATTTAAGAATTTAATATACTATTATAACTACTATAAGCAGCTTTATAAAATAATAATTTTTAATTTTAAAAATATTATTAAGCTAAGGATTATATATAAGCACTAGGTTTTATATTTTACCTTTATTTTAAAAATATTTAGCAAGCGTGACATGCTTTTTAGTATTATTATTATAAACATGCTTTATATTAATATTATACTAAGTTTTAAGATAGTTTTTTAGGAAAATATACTTTTTTAGTAATTTATTTTTATTATAAAGTAAAAACACCTAGTAAAAATAGGTTATATTATTTATAAATATTATAAAGTAGTATTTTGTATTATATTTATATATAAAGATTAATTTATAAATATTAAAATAAATAAAATTTTTGGGTTTTATATAAATCTCGCGGCGGTTTTTTAGTAAAAAATAATATTTTTTATTTATTAGGCATGGCTTATAAAAATACTTAAGGCCGCCCTTTTTAAGCTTTAGGCTTTTAATATTTTAAGTAATTTAATATATCTTTTGCTTGCTCGCGTGGGCTAAGTAATAATATATTAATTTAATAAAAATTAGCTTTAAATTTATTTTAAAATTAGTATTAAAAAATAGCTTTGCTATAGTAATAAGCAAGCTATTAACCTTTAATATATTAATAAGCTTTATAAAAAATTAACTAGTTATATAAAAATAATAGTAATTATTTAAAACTATAATATACCCTTTAGCCTTACTATTTTATAAAAAAAATTTATTATTTTTATTTAAAAGTATTTACGCGCCCGCTTTAGCAAGCTAGTATATTAAAATAAGATTATAAGCTAGCGCAGGTACTAGCTAAATATTTTTTAAAATAAAAGTTTTAATATATATTATTAAGTTTAAAAGTATAAAATTAATTATAATATTATTATATTTTTTAGTAAAAAAAGGCGTGCCTGTAGTAATTTTTACCTTAATAATATAAGTTATAAAAAACATAAAATTATAATAAAAAGAAGTTATATAATATAATAAACCTAAGTTAAGTATTTAAAAATAAAAATTTTTTTATTATACTATTATAGGCCGCTACATGGTATTTTATATTAATATAATTAAAAAAAAATAATAAATTATTATTTACTAATAATAGCTAGTATTATTAAAAAGCACCTTATTATTATTATTATTATTAATAAAGGCGCTAATTATACATGTTACTTTAAACCTTATTAGCTTAATTATTATATAATTATTAACTAGTATAATAAGCTTTAAAAAATTTTTAGAAGTTATTATATTTATATAAGTTATATTTATTATATTTATTATACCCTTTTTAACCGCGGCCTTTAAATATACTAAAAAAATTATAATTATAATAACCTTTATAGCCTTATTTACAAGAGCTAAAATTATAAAAATAAAATACGCCTTGTGGGCCGTGAAAATTAGTTTACTTTATTAATTAATATTTAAAAAAAAGTAATTACCTAAAGCGCTGTAATAATAATATTAAATAAAGTTAATATTTTTTATAAGTAAATTATTTTTAAAAATCTTGTTAATAATTACCTTTTTTTTATTTTTATTTTTATTTTTTTTTATTTATTATATTTATAAAAAGCGTGTTAAAAGTTACTTTAAGTAACTTTTTTTTTATTTAGTAGTGCTATGCGTACTATAAAAAAATATATATATACTTTTTTTATTTTATAAACTAGTAAATTATAAAATATTTTTAGCTAAATAATTTAAGCTTTATAAAACTTTATATTTTAAATTATGGTAAGAAAAAAATAAACCTTTATTTAAAGGGGTAACTTAAATTTTTAATGTTTTAATTTAGTAATAGTATTTTTTTATTTATTTAACTAAATAATTTTATTTTATATATTTATAAGCTTTATTATAAAAAGCTTATTTTAAGTATTATAAGCTATTATATAGCTGTAAAGTTTATAAAAGGCCTTAAATAAATTAAAAGCCTTTTTTAACCTACACATGGTATAAAGGTTTGCTTAAATAAATAAAGTATAAGTATTTTAAAAAATTATAAATATTATAAACCTTTTTTTATTATATTTTTTTATTTTTTTATTATAAGTGTTTTTTAATTTTTTATTACATGTAATAATTTTTTTATATAAGTATTTAACCTTTATTACAGGGATATTAATATTATTATTAAGTTTTATTTTTTTATAATAAGTTTTTTTAATAAATTTATTATCCTATAAGTTATAAAGATCTAGTTTTATAAGTATTAGGTAATTATTTTAAAAAACCTGTTAAAGGGAGGAGTTAAAGCCTTGTAATTTAATTTTTAGTAATTTTATTTACTAAAAATAATTTTTTTTATTAAGCTTAATAATTAAGTTAGTAATTTTTACCTTATTAGTAATAATAAAAAAGCCTTTTATTATAGTATTAATACTTAAAGTATTAAACTTAAAGGCTAGGTAAAAATTTTTTATATAAAATAATATAGTTACTAGGTTTAGCCTAGCAGTTATAATTCGTGTATTTATAAATAAAAAAAAAAGTAATAAAACCTAGGTAAAGCAAGGGCTTATAACCTAAGAAAAAAAATAATATAAGTTATAAAGTAAATAAATTAACTAACTAACTAACTATTTAAGCTAGGTGGCTATAAAACATAAAGATATTCAGGAGCGCCAAGCACCCGGGTCACGTGACCACGGGCAGTGATCCTCGACAGTAACCAGTTCATGCACTCCCTGCAGGGGCTCCGCAACACCCATGGAAGAGTATACCCGGGGTATTTCGTACTAATTTGTAGCTGGACATCTGCATGGCCGTTGTACTTTAAATACACCGCAAAGTACTTGCACTTTGCAAAGACTCATGGCCTAGGCCGTAGCACCAAACGCCTATATAAACCAGCTCATTCCGACCTCCTTAACCCAACTCAACCACAACGTCTCAACCAAGCAAGCAGCAAGCAAGCAGCAAACCAGAATGACCCGCCTCCTCCCAGTCCTCAGCCTCCTCCTCCTCTCCCTCGGCGCCAACGCCTCCCCATTTGCAACCCCACCCAGCTCCTCAAACCCAAGCACCAGCACCACCTCCACCCTCTTCGCCTTCGACCTCCCCTGCGCCGAGCTCACCACCCTCAACAACAACGTCACCCCCTTCCTGAACCTCGCCGTTCCCCCCGGAACCCCCAACAACATCGTGCCCGAGGTGACGCGCCGCCTGGGCGCCATTAACTCCTTCATCGCCGCGTACACGGGCATGCTGAACACGTTCAACACAAACAACTGCGCGAATACAGATACCGGTGTGAATATGATCCAGGCGCGCCAAGCGCCCATTGAGGATTTCCGCGCGGCTGTTTGCGAAGCTGTTGAGGGCGCGGACATGAGTGCGCTGCCTGAGGAGTTTGCGAGTATGAGGGAGCAGTGGGTTGAGGCGATGGGGTGCTCTGAAGGTGGCGCTGGTGGTAGCAGTGGGAGGTTCTAGGTGAAGCTACTGCCTACCCGACGTCCTTGCTGGTATCTTGATGCAGGTTCCTAGGGGAGAGATGGAAGGGATGGGATGGATAGGCGCTCAACCACCTACCCACCTATCCAATGTAACGTCCTAGAGCTAAGCTGGGCATTCAACATACTCGGCTTGAGTGGTCTCGTGTATGGAAACGCTCGTTATACGGTTACTAGAGCCGGGCTGTATCTAGGCTATCGACCATAGCTTGTATAGCTGTCTAGCGGAATGATCTACTGGACCTATTATCCAGCCTTACTCTCATGTCATTTTCTCGTCTCCTGAAGCGTAGACCTCTTCCGCTGAGATTTCCATGAGGCTCAGGAATACCAAATCTACACTTACTTTAACTAGGGCACCTAGGCGATGCGCCATCAGGTACCCTAGTCCGGAATTATCCCCTGATTCCTCGTTACCACCTGCACCCAACAATTGAAACAAGCCCTAGCCCCAGCCATTGCCATTGCCATCCTTCAATGCAAGACGCAGGATCGATCAATGAGACGCTCTTCTTCTTCCCTCTGCCTCCGCAAATAATGAATGTTGTACGGTACTGTGTGCAAGGTGTCGTGATGCATACTTGGACGTATCCATTGGACTATCCTATACCCTTAACTCCCCCGCCCCGCCCTCGCGCCCACGACAGGACAGAAATACTCCGGGCCGCACTTGTCCAGACTTGCAGACACCCTGTAGAGCGTGCATGAACTGGTCTGGTTACACTGTAACTCCCTCCATCTGATAGACCGTCCGAGCCAACCTGAGGTCATCCTCAACAGCTAGAAATGGCCTAGACGCATGAAATACACCGCAGTGTTGCTCTGCTATCGTACCTTGCAGGTGCAAGTTCGTGCATGTGTATCATACTCGATATACCTCCGTTGATAGAAGCAGCACTAGTAAACACCCGAGACTGAAGTCTAATATTAACTTTGCTCCAGTCGCCTCCTAAGGTCCTCATTTATGCCCCAAGGACCCTTGATCTCGCTGCCCTAAGCAAATGGGATATATCCCTCCCGTCTCTTCTTTCCCATGCCCAACTGAAACCCTGGCTTCTCCTTCTTCGACCTCTAAAAAGTCCATACCCCTAAACATGGTATTCTTCCACCTCACCCTCGTCCTCGTCGTCTCCCTCCTTTCTCTCCTGCATGTGCCAGCCTATGCCTTGCCAACCGTACCCAACTACGCCATCCATTCTGATTCCACCTTTCCCTTCGGCGGCGATAGCGCCGGCAATCTCAACACGGAGCCCTCGGGCAAACGATCGGCGCTCCAAGCACGTCAGGACCAGGACCCAATCATCCTCGTTGGGGAGGCTGTCTGTACCGCGTACGACGAGTGGGATCGGTCGTCGGTGCCGGAGTATGTGCTTGCGATGGTCAGCAATGTGCAGAGGGCGGTGGGATGCTTGGCGGTGATTTCTTAGGGTTACCTAAGGGCATGAGAGCTGGAGGGCTGCGGGGGTGCAAATGCAAAACTGCTGGGGCCATTGAACGTACTTAATCGGTCTAGCTGAGGAATTGCTCTTGATGCTCGGGGTTGAAGGGGATGAGATGGATTGAAAACTATCAGATGGGGTACTGCCTCCCTCAAGAGGCGAAGAAAGACATTGGAATAGAGTAGGTATCCAACATACCATATTCTACTATATCCATTTATCCATAGTTGAATATCTGTCTGCTGCTTCAAGGATTAAGCCAAAGCCTGCCCTAACTCTCCACTTCCTGACGTATAACAGCCGAGAATACGCATTACCCACCTCCCAGAATGTACTTCGCGAACCACGACGGCAGATTCTATATTTGCGCTTCCAGGAATTTCCCGGCCAAGTCCGTACAGTGGCATCACTTTCGATGGAATGTCCTAGCCGCATCCGACCAGCTGGGGCCTGGAGGTTGTCTCGTACTAGTTCGTATTCATATCCTGCCCGGAAACAATCTAAGACGCTAGGGCATAAAGGCTAGTCACATTCCGCAAATGGCGTTTGTGATATCTTGCGCTGGCGTTTCACATATCATTGCCATTCTACCTGCCAAGAGTAATACAGCTGCTTAGGGCTTATGGACCATCAACGTGGACCTTGTAAACGCCTACTGAGGTACATACATAGCTTGGTGCCTGGCCGCTACAACCCCTGCAATGCAAGCCATATAAATAGGCACCGCAGGTACTGCAGCATGGAAATGGAAATGGATGCTGCTTGCTCGCCCCTAACTCCTTCATCACTCAGTATCGGCTTGGCCTTGAGACGAAATGCACCTCCAGCATCTCACAGCAGCGCTTACGCTCGCCCTCCTCACCCAAACCACGCCAGGCGCAGCAGCAAAAGCAAACTGGGACCTACAGCGCCGCGACCTATCGTCAATATGCGCCTGTGACCAGCTCGCATCCACCTACGCCACCCGCCTCATCCTCCCGGGCTCCCAGAACTACCTACACTGCCCAAGCAGCAGACGCATACTGGGATGTGCGGGCCGTTGTTGAGGCGGCGAGATTCGAGGGCGATGAGATTGCGGCGGGGATGGTGGCGACGGTTGGTATGAATGTCAGTGCGGGCGTGGCGTCGGCGACGTTGATGGGGGTGCAGGAGGGCGTGACTGGCGCTGGGGCGCCGTCGCGGCTTGCGAATTTCACGTCGCTTTCGCAGGGTGGGATTAATACTGTTGGGACGATGAGGGAGTGGGCGGAGGGTGCAAGAGCTGTATGACCCGGATGGAGTGTTTACGAGGTTGAGCTGGGGTGGGTTTAAGCTGAGCGTTTGACTGCCTATCGTACCTACCTTATGGCCATTTGCTTGATATCAACCCAAGGTTGGTTAGGGTTAGGGTTGGATTGAACGGAGGGGGGATGAGGACTGAGTCCAATCATTGGAAGCGTGCGTTGTCTGAGTGCTTCAGATCATGTACAATAATATCCTGCTCTCACTGCTCCCTCGCAAGAACCTCCCCAATCGACCTGGCCACATACTCGACATTCCCCGTGTTGAGTCCCGCAATCGAGATCCGCGAGTTGTCCGCCATGTAGATGTGGTACTCGTCTAAGCACTAATGCATCAGTCAAGAACCCTTCACCAAGTACGAGAACTCACCCCTAAGAGCCAGCACAACCTCCTTACTGAGCCCCAAAAACCCAAACATGCCCGACTGTCTAACGAGATGGCCCCAGTCATGTTCGGGCGCTACAGTTCCGTTAGTTCAATCTATCCACATCCAGTTCATTCCCAGACAGATCCTACCGTATCTCCCCAACCCCTCAACCAGCGCCCTCCTCATCTCCGCAATCCTCCCACTCATCGTCCTCAAATCCTCAAACCACAGCCCCTTCAGCCTCTCATCCCCTAGCACCGTCTCCGCGATCCTCGCCCCAAAGGCCGGCGGGTTCGAGATCTCCGAGCGCTGCAGCGACTCCAGCACGGACTGTGTGTTTCTCGCGGTCGTGCCGTCAGCCGTGACGATTATGACGGCGCCGACGCGTTCGCCTGGACACCGTGGCAGGCTGGTTAGTACGATACCTCGCCTCCTTGTGCTTGGTACATAGAAGAGAGAAGTGAACGCACCATAAAGCCCCATATTCTTCGCGAAGCTCGCGCAAACCGCACACTCGATCCCGAGCTCGGCTGCAAAATACCGAATCGCCCACGCATCCGCATCATAGTCCCCCGAGTTGAAGCCCAGATACGCCGCGTCAAAGACAGGGAACAGCCCGCGGTCTTTGACGATCGCCCCGATCTCCTTCCACTGTTCGACGGTTGGGTCCAGGCCTGTGGGGTTATGCGCGCATGCATGCAAGATGAACACGGATGCGGGCTCTGCGGAGCGGAGCGCGGATAGGTAGGAATCTATATCGAGGGATTTGGTGTGCGCGTTGTAGTACGTAAACGGCACGACGTCGAAGCCCAGCGATGAGAAGAGGAGGTGGTGGTTTGACCAGGTTGGAGCGGGGATGTATACTTTCCTCTTCTCAAGCAGGTGCTTGGGCGTGACGGACTTGATCAGCGCGCCGGCGAGATGCAGAGACCCCGTGCCTGAAACCGCCTGGGACGTCGCGAGTTTCTGAGCGAGCGCGTCGTATCCCCCGCCGAAGATCAGCTTTGCGACGCCGTCCCGTAGTCCTTTTAGGCCTAGAATCGGGAGGTACTCGTGATACAGCCCGTTCTCGAGGATGGCTTTTCGCGCTTCGCGCACGGAGGGCAGGACCCATGGCTGGCCGTTGTCGTCGCGGTAGGTGCCTTGGCCGAGGTTTACTTTGACGGGCGAGGGGTCGACGTTGTATTGGGCTGTTAGGGCGAAGATTGCGTCGGGGGGAATGTAGGGGGCGGAGGAGAAGAGGGATGTTGTTGTGGTGGTGGTGGTGGTTGTCGACATTTTGGTGAAGGTTGGGGACTTGGTAGAGCGAGGAGGTATGAGGCAGGAACTGATACTTTGTCTTGCAGGTCATGGAGGGGCAATGTATAGATACCTCCAAAGACATCAGATACCTACGATACCTACTATGGTAGTAATGTTGGCGTCGGGGGACGGACCCGAGACCCGGAGGGGCTGCCGAGGGCGTCTATCAACGGGTGGGGGTCCGAGAGTTGGAGTAGCCTTTTCCTCGGAGAACTGGTCACAGGATTGGACGATGCGTCATTGCAGTCCTTACAATGTTTTTGAATCTGAGACGGTGGTTAATGGGAATCTGAAGGCAGGGCGGGCCTTAGACATTACCCTACGCACAGGGCTCTGCTGATCTAGGGTAAGCGTGGCTAGCCCTAAGTCGACCATCCTGATTCGGAACATAACATGGCAACATAACATTGAACAAACTCATCACACCGGTAGAGAAACAAATCATCACATCAGTTAAAAGCAAATCCAACCCATCCAGTAGTCTAAAGCTTCGTCCTCCCCGGCAACACATCCCTCAACTCCCTCGACTCCCCAAGCCTCCAACTCACATCACCGCCCCAATCCTCCTTTCCCCCTCCAGCCTCCTTCCACCTCCACCTGCTAACCTTCTGCTCGCCCTGCTGATCCTCAAGCAAATCCCTCACCCACCCGCCCACAATCGGAAACATCTTAAACCCATGCCCCGAGTCCCCAGAAAGCACAACCACGGACCCCTGACTCCCCGGCACATAATCCACAATGAAATCGCTATCCTTCGTATCCGCAAACCAGCACAGGCTCTTCTTCACCAGCGGCCTCCCCGCAAGCCCCGGCAGCGTCTGCGCCAGCAGCTTCCGGATCCGGCCCTCATCCTCGGCTGGTAAAAACCCATTCACCACATCCAGATGCTCGGGGAACGGCGAATGCGACACCCCGCTCGCGCGATCCGTGTTGATGTACCCCCCGCCCATGGGACACAGCTTCAGCAGATTCGTCTTGGGATCCGGCTCGAAGAAGAACCCGAAGTCGCGCGCGTACGTCACGGGGATCCCCCGCAGCGCAGCCGTCTCCTCATCGCTCAGCAAAACGTGCGCAACGCTCCACGCCTTCGCCACAATCTGCGTCCCGAGACTCGGGAGGATCTTGCCGACCCCCGCGCCCGCAGCCACAATCACCAGCCCGGCAGCGTGGAATCGCCCATCCCCCGTCCTAACCCCAACCGCCTTCCCACCCTCGTAAACAATCTCAGCAACACCCCCCTGCTGCGCACCAAGGAAGAACTTCACCCCGGCGCCCTGCGTAACGCGGTATATCCCGGCGAGCGCATTCCCCGAGTGCGCGTAGCCATCAAACCGATTCATGTACCCCCTCCACCCAGGCAGCGGGCCATCACACTGCCAGAACCAAGGGCGGATATCGCCGGGTCCGTTGAGGGGGACGACATGCGGCGCGATTGTAGGATGCGATGTCGCGGCATCCTGGAAGCGCTTCAGTGTCTCCTGGGCCTTTTGGGGCGCGGCGCCGGACACGCAGTGCAGGAAGCCGGTTTGGTGGAAGTAGGGGGCGAACAGCGGGGTTTTCCAGGTTTTTATTGCTTCCTGCGCCACGAGCAAAAGGTGTTAGCGTGAATGAAGGGGGATTGGGAAGGGAGAGGTGCAGGCGTACAATCGTCAGATCGGTGTAGAATTTATCCTCGTACTCGGCGCGCACGATCTTATTCAGGTCGTTTGCGGCGGAGTACCGCGGGGGAATCTGTTCGTCTTGCTCGAAGACGGTGATGTCGGTGTAGTTGTTTTGCACGAGGTGGAGGGCTGTGGATAGGCCGAAGGCGCCGCCGCCGATGATGAGGATGGGCGTGGACTTTGGGACGGCCATTGTGGTTCCGATTTCGAGTAGTCTGCAATCTGCAATTGCGATAGCAAGGGTTATGGATATGGACGATGCTGGTAGCCGCGGAGAGCAGTTATATAGCTAGCTACCTGTGCATGAGTGTCGTGGCATGATCCCGACCTCATGGTCGGGAGGGATGCCGGTGATCTGGAGGGCGTGATAAGGACCGGGAGGGGGGCCGGTGAGGGGCACCCCGCGTTTACGGTCGTAGATAGCGAGCTTTATCTGTGGAGTTGGTAGAGCTGTAGTGGGGTGAGTCGGATATGCTCCGTGTGCTTGCTGTAACTTGTAAGCGAGGTAAGACGAATGACAGCGTTCGTGATGAATGAATTCTTGCTAATGGTAGATTAGGGCTCCGAGGCCCGGTGCCCTTCTTTTTACCATACCCAACCTTAGGTTGGAGATTGCAGTACCCCAATCAAGCAGACAAAGTGAAGTAAAACCAAGCAATAACTAACAATCCATTTTAACTCATAACTATCGTACGCATACATCCCGTCATCCCTAAACAAAACCAACCTTGGAACTCTATCTACTCGTTACTAGGATACTTGAACCCCTCCAACGGGAAAAACTCCTCCTTAATCATACGCGGGCTCGTAAACCGCCTCAGAATATCCGAAGACCCGGCCTTATCATTCGTACCGCTCGCCCTGGCCCCGCCAAAACTCTGCTGCCCGATCAACGCCGCCGTCGTCTTACAGTTGATATAGAAGTTGCCGGCGCTGTAGCGCAGCGCGTCCTCCGCCTCGCGGATGACCTTCCGATCACTTGCAAAGACCGCACCCGTGAGCGCGAACCCGCCGCCCGCCGCATCGACCTGGCCGAGGAGTTCACTCCACTCGTTGTCCGGGTACACGTACACCGCGAGCACGGGGCCGAAGATCTCCTCGTTGAAGAGGCGGTGGGTGGGCGAGTCTGTCTGGTAGACGGTGGGATTGACGTAGAAGCCGGTAGTGCCGTCGTAGGATCCGCCGGCGATGAGCTTGAGCGAGGGATCGGCGTTGCTCTCGTCGATGATGGACTTGATCTTGTCGAAGGAGCGGCGGTGGATGACGGGGCCCATGAAGGCGTCGAGATCTTTATCGGGGTTTCCGATGGTGATTTCCTGCACGCCGGCCTTGAGCAGCGAGATGAACTCCTCGGCGCGAGAGGCGGGGATATACGCGCGCGATGTGGCAGAGCACTTCTGCCCCTGGTACTCGAATGCGCCGCGGATGGTGTGGTTGACCGCGCTCGGGATATCAGCGGTGTTGTGGACAAGGTGGAAGTTCTTTCCGGAGGTCTCGCCGACGACGCGGGGGAACTCGCGGTACGTCTTGTTTCCGATGCCCTCGCCGATCTTCGCGTAGATGGAGCGGAAGACGTCGGAGGAGCCGATGAAGTTGAGGCCTGCGAAGTCGCGGTGCGCCAGCGCGATGTCGGTGATCTGCTCGGCGTCGCCGGGGACGAATTGCACGACGTCTGGGGGGAGGCCGGCTTCCAGCAGGATCTTGTAGATCAGGCTGCTGGCGTAGATGTTGGAAGGCGAGGGCTTCCAGAGGACAACGTTGCCCATGAGCGCGGGGCCCGAGAGGAGCGAGCCGCCCAGCGCGGTGAAGTTGAAGGGAGAGACGGCGTAGACGAAGCCTTCGAGGGGGCGGTATTCCATGCGGCTGGAAACGTCAGTCTAGGTCTTTGTATTGTATGAAAGAGAGAGGTACCTCCACATCCCATCGGTCCCCCTGGTCGGCTGACGCTCCAACAACTCCGCCGCAAAGTTGCAATTGAGGCGGAAGAAATCCGCCAGTTCAGCGGCGGCATCAATCTCCGCCTGCCAGATGTTCTTCCCCTGGCCCAGCATCGTCGCGGCAATCAGCTCGTAGCGGTACTTGCCGGTCACCAACTCTGCAGCCTTGAGGAAGATAGCGGCGCGGTCGACGAACGGCGTGTTCTCCCAGTCCTTCTTGGCCTTGAGGGCGGACTCAATGGCCGCAGAGACCTGCTCCTTCGACGCGACGGGGTAGTTTGTGAAGGTTGTGGCGTGCTCGGCGGGAAGAGGCTGGTCCCATGATGTCGAGGCGGCTTGGACCTTGCCGTTGTAGTAGATGGAGCTTTGCACGGGGAGTTGGGCGCGGAGGGTCTTGAGGGCGGCTTCGATCTTGGTGCGTTCGGGGGAGCCTTTTACGTAGGTGGGCTGGGCACGTCAGTTTGAATCTGAATTGATGAGTTGGATGTGGACATACGTTGGGCTCGTTCCGCGCATCGGGAAGTCTGAAGGGGGCAGTGGCCTTGGTCCGGATCTGGGTCCGGGGGAGGCGCTGCAGACGCGCAGAGGAGGAGAGTCTGGGTGTGAGGAGCCTGGTAGACATGGTGATGGTTGAAGAGGATGAAGATGAATTGGCAAAGTCGAGGAGAGAAGCAGCTTTATCCTTTGCAGAGTTGTTGGAGAGTCGGGAGCGCACCCGAGGGTTCCAGTTCCCCGCATCGCAGCGCTGGCTATCGCATCTGCACCACGGGAGGGGAGCCGTGATCGGTGGCGGAGACAGAAGAATGATTTCAATGACTAACTCGTAGATTATCTTCTGAACAGAAACTGGATAGACAAGAGACAAGATGGACGTGATGGAAACGCACCAAAGCCCAACCCACCACCTCCCGCCGACGGGAAGCCCTAACTGGCGCGCCCTCAGCGGCGACCTCACAGCAGCCACAGTCGCCGCACTCCTCGTCTCGCCCACAGTAACAATAATCGACAGGCGCGTACTCTCCCAAGATACCTAAGTGCCATCACTAATGAAAGGCAGATCCCTCGTTGAAAAAGCCTCCACCAGCAAACCCATCCTCTCCTCCCTCCACAACCACACCCGCGCAGCCCTAACCCAGCCCACGCGCTTCCTCCTCTCAAAACCCCACGGCCACGTCTTCGCCCTCTACGCCGCAACATACACCGTCGCAAACGGCACCGAAACAATCACAAAGCACTCGCACCCGTCCCTCTCAGGCGCCCTGACCTTCGCCGCGACATTCGCCGTGAACATCCCGCTAGGCGTGTGGAAGGACATCCGGTTCGCGCAGTTCTTCGGCGCTGGCGCCTCACAGGTCCCTGTCCCTAAGACCGCAACCGCAACCGCCGCAAAGACCGGGGCACTGCCAGTCCCGCCGAGAAAGACAGGCTCGGCCGCAGCAACAGCAACCCTGCTGATCCGCGACGCCGTAACAATCTACGGCTCATTCACACTCGCCCAGTCATGCGCGGACCTAATCCCCGACTCCGTGGCGAGCCATCCATATTCAAAGACCGTGTTCACGCAGCTCGTTGTCCCCGTGCTGTCGCAGCTGATTGCGACCCCGCTGCATCTGCTGGGCTTGGATCTGTATAACCGCCAATACCGGGTTCCTGTGAGAGACCGGGCGGCGCTGGTCTGGAGGGATTTGGGCTCGGCGACGGCGGTCAGGTGTGCGAGGATTGTGCCGGCGTTTGGGGTCGGGTGTTTGGTGAATATGGGGCTTAGGGGGGTTTTGCATGGTTGGGTTGATTAAATGGGATGGGATGTTTTTGATGGATGGATGCATCCATGTGATGGATGATGATTTACGAATGTGGTTTGGCTTCCCGGGGAGGTCCTAGATGAAGTTGTCTGTAAGGCTCTACGGACTTTTTCAGCGGGACGCGAGATAATCTGCAGGAGTTATGGTTGACTCCAAGTATTACCACTCATATTAACCATGATAGACACAGATAGTGAGCCTAATAAAACCCCTCCCTCTGAATCCTCTCATTGGACACGCCCACAGCCCTAAGACCATCAACCACCACATTCCCAAACCCATTCGGACCACAAATGAACACATCTTTACCGGTAATATTAGGGACAGTCTCCCAGTACTCCGGTATAATCCGACCCTCGTGAATGCGTACCCGGATGTTATCCGTATTGTAGGCAGCAGCCCTAATATCAGTTCCCACCGGAGCCCGCGTGAACAAGTCAAGGGTGATCGTAAGCTTGGGAACTCTCTTAGGGAAATCTGTCAAAATCTTCCTAAGCAGCTCGAGCAGGATATCTGGCTCCCGCGTCGACAAAGCGAAGATGATATCCCCGCTGGCGTTTTCCCTTGACACCAGCGCATCAAGCATGGCAAGGAACGGCGTGATCCCAATCCCACCAGCAACCCAGAGGACGTCGAGCTCATCGTTGCTGAGAACAAAGTCACCCGTGACGCCGACAATATCAGCCACCACAGAGTCGGCAATGTGAATCTGGTGCCGTAGTGTCCGGGGGTGTCTTCGTAAAATATTGAACAGTGCACCGGTCACTGCACCCCCCTTCATCTCCCGCATCGTCAGCTCAAACCACGCTACATTGTTATCCTCATGAGCGCTCGAGACAGTCCACGTCCGGACTCTGTCGTCGTTGATTGAGCCGGGCGCAGTGTCTGCCATATGCCGGTATGTCGGTGGGCCGAGCCAGTCCATGAAGTCGAGGACGATGGCTTGGCCGGGGCGGATGCTGAGGGTTTTCGCCTCGTGTTGCTTAGACTCTACTTTGAATCTGAAGACGGCGAGATCATGGGAAAGCTGCCGGGCGCTTTCGAGTCGTGCTTTGTGCGCAGCATCGCCAGCACCGCCTTGCTCGTCCTCTTCGACCAGGTATTTCACCTTAGGGCTATACGGACTCCTTCCGACCTCTGACCCCGGCGCTTGTCGTACCGGAAGCGCGTCCTTCACCAGCGTGTAACCTGTGACTTCCAGCACTGTAACGGTCCCAGCATGCCTCTTCATGACTTTCCCCACCTCCTCGCCAACAAGGTTCTTTGCGTTCCCCGTAAGGTAGAGTACATCGCCAGTCTCAAAGTCTACGATGGTGAATCCTGCAACACCGGAAGCTTCGATGTTCCCCAACGACGAGAGAAATCTGTTACCCGAGTAGTCTGGCAGGACGACTGTGTGGCCGTCGCTGGGGAGCACGCGGATGAAGCCCGGGAGTCCGCCGCGAGCGTTCATCCCTGCGTGCGAGGGGTATGTTCGTGCCGTGGCGGGGTCGGCTTTGTAGATGCTTGCGATGAAAACTGTGTCCGCGGAGGTGATCATGTTGATGACCTCGGTGGGGAGTTGGGAGTCCGGTGGCATCGACTGCACGCGGTGGGCGATCGTGGGATTTGCGTTTGGGTGAGGGATTAGATGGCGGGTGTTGATGTATTTGGGGCAGTTTCTGTTCAGTGTCAGTGCAATGCTACAGGACATGATGAAAACAACTCACCCAACAGCCTCATTGACCTCCACACGCACCACATACTCCTCCTTCGCAACAGCACGAACACCCCTCACAGACCCAGCAAACTTATTCCTCCGTCTGGTGCTGAACTCAATGCCTAAACCCGCCGTCAACGCTCTCTCCTCAGCCTTCCCACTCCATCCATCTAACAGCTCCGCGAGCGGGTCCCCATCCCAGACGTGAAGTCCAAAAACGAGCGTTTTCAGATCGGGACTCGTAACAAACCCGATCTCCCCAGATCCGGCAGCGATTCCTGCCCACGGCCGCCCATCTTCATCGATGACTGTCAGCGGAATGAATGGGAGGTTCGAGGTGTGGAAGATGCGATGTTGTTCTCGAAGCTGGGATTCAATAACGACGTAGCTTGCCGCTATGCTGTCCGGGAAGTGCAGGAGGTTGTGCAGTTTTGTTTCGCCGGGGTGCCAGCCTTGCAGGGCGGTTGCCATGTCTGTATTCTCAAATTGCAGGTGCTCTGCTAGGGTAAGCTAAGTGGAGAAGGTTGGGTATGGACTGTGAATGGGAGCAATGATGTGGGGAGGATATGAAGAGGACAGTGAGTCTCTACTATTCGCATGTGATAGAAGGCGTACGGAGACGTGCACCAAAAGTTTCCGCACACGCTAGTAAGCTTTGTGTAACTTTTGAATTTTTTTATATATAATTACTATAGAAACAAATTCCAAGAGTACATAAACTATACTAAAACTAAAGGTACCCCCCTAAAATTAAAAAATAATTTAAAATTAAAAAAATAAAGCTATTTAAACACCCAATTATTATTATTTTTTAGTAAAGGAAGGTTTTAACACATAAAAAGCTGCCTTTTTACCTTATAGCCCTTTTAATTATATATATTTTAATCCTTACAAGCCTTTTAATACTTATTACCTTTTTTATAGTAAATAACCTTTTAAATATGTTAAACTAGCCTCTTAATCTAGTATTAAATAATTTTTTAAAAAAGCTTTTTTTAGGCTTTATACTAGGCTACTTTACTAGTTTTTTTATTTTAAGGCACTTTATATAAAGTTATACGCTTTTTTATTTAGGCCTAAGTAAACTTAATAATATTAAGATCTAGTAAATTATTAGGTGTGGTAGCAGATTGCACCGTATGCGAATAAAAAGAGTCTTAATTTTTAAGTAAGCCGTAGAGCGGCTAAAATATCTCCATGTTATATAATAGGGTGGTAATATAAGGCAGAACCTATATACCTGGAATATGGCCTGTATATAACCACATATTCCCCCCGCTAAAAAGCATAGCATATAATAAGAAAAAAAAGCTAAATACTAACTTGGAGCTAAGCTTAACAAATAAGAAATATAATATTATAAAATAAAAGTTAATAAAAAAGACTTTTTAATAAAGCAGAGCTTAATATAAACCAAAAACCAGAAAATTAAAAAAAACACTACCAAGCAGCTAGTAACCAGAGTCAAACTTAACAAAGGAATATAAAACGGCGTTAAAAAGTGTAGAAAGATGGGGTATTATAGCATTTAAAGCAGCCATAAAACAGCCGTTGGAGCGTAGTGCAAGTATAAATAAAAGTAAAATAAAGTAAAGATAGGGTATTGCCTAAAATAAACAGCCTTTAAAGTATAATATAAAAAGGCTAGCTATAAACTAGCTTATTTTTCTTTTTTTTATATTTAAGGTAGGTAGTAAAGTACTTATATATAATTTACACCTTTATATTATAAAACGCTGGATTAAAAATCTTATTTTATATATTTTTTAAATAATTAATATAAAATATTTTTAGGGCTGTAAGAAGCTTTACTATATTACTAGTAAATATTATTTTAAATAAATATTTAGGTATATTTTTAACATGGTTAATAATTACTTTAAAAGCCTATTCCTAAGAATAACCGGCCTTAATATTCTTTTATATAAAATTTAAATAATATTTTTTATATAGGCCGCGCAGGGTAATTAAATAGTAGTTTAATTTTATTTTTATTTTTTTAGGTCCTTAAGTATTAATAGGCTAATAATATTATAAATATTTGTAAGACCAACAAGTCTCGAAGATCTTTACTAACAATAAAGATATTAATAAAGGAATCTAACTAATAAGAATAAAGTATTCTAAACCTTATTAAATAACACTAAAAAAGTTGCTTAAAAATTTAGGAAGAAGGCTGGCCTTAAGGCCACCTTTATAAACCTTTAAGTTATACTTAAGCTATTTTTAATTAAAAAGTAAATATAGGTTTAAATACTTTACGCACAGGTTTTTACTTTAACTTATACTTAAGACTTACCCTAGCCTTGCCTAACTAGTAGCCAAGACCTTAAATATTAATAACCTAGTTAAATTATATAGCCTAATATAATAATAAAATATATTAAGCCTTAGTGGCCTAAGGCCAAAGCTTAGGTTATTTAAAGTACTAATTTTAAATTAATAGTAAATTAGCTTTAGTAATATTAAATAAAAAAATATTAGCCTTAATAATTTTTTTTTTTTTAATTAAAGGGTTGTCCGCGACCCATTACTAAACTAAAAAAAATAATAATAAAATGCTATTATTATTATTAATATTAATACTAAATATATTTTTATTATTACTATTCTTAACTTTATTAAAGTATTATTTAATATATTAAATTTAGTATTTTATTCTTATTATTTATAGCGCTTTAAATAAAATATAATATTTATTTATACCTAAAAGGGGAAAGGCGGTGCTTTAATAATACCTAGTATAAAAGTATAAATTATAATATAGTTTATAATTTTATAAACTCCTAAGCTTATTAAACTTTTTGCTAAATAAAAAGTTACCTTTTTTTTATTATAGTTAAAAAAAAGCCCTTTCGGGCGCTGCCCTGGCTTTTTAATAAATAAAAAAAAAGTGCCTTGTTATAATTATAGTAATTTAAAATATTCTTATTTTTACTTTTTAAACTCCCATGGTGGTATAATTATAAAACCCCTTTAATATAATATTTTTACTAACTTTAAAAGCCCTTGGTATTTTTAATCTTTTTTTTACACTAGTCCCCCTTTAGTTTTAAGAACTTTAATTTTAATTAGTTCTTGGGTAATAATAATAATAACTAGTATAACTTACGCCTAATAAGCACCTTTAAAATATATAGTAAGGTTATAGGTAATAATTTAATAAGTTTTTTTTACTTTAATAATTACTAACTAGTGGCAGTCCGCCAGCACTTTATTAAATATACTAACTTTTAATTTTATAATAATTATTTTATTATTTAATTATAGCTCCCGCGCCCCCTAGCTTATCTTTTTTTACTTTACCTAGCTTTATGCTAGCCTTTACCCTTATTAATACCTTTATTATGGGTTTTATGCTACTACCCCCTTAGGCTTTTTTTTTTAGCCTCCGGCTTTTTTTTTTATAAATATACCTTATTTTTAACTAGTTTGCTGGTAAAATAGCTTTAATATAAATATTAGCTAATAAAAAATAGGTTTACTTGTGGTGTGTAAAGTATATTTAGGTATATAAAAATAATAGGTTAATTAATAGCCTTAATAACTATATTTATTTAGCCCCCGGGTGTAATTACTTTTATTATATTTATAATAAGGGTACTTGCCTCCCCCTACTATTTTATATAAAAAAAATATTATTTTTTTATAATAAATAAACCCTAGTAACTATAATAAATATTTTTATTATTAAAATATATTTACTTACTAGGTTAAACTAATAATAAAGGCTTATAAAAAAAAAATAAGCCTTAAGGTCCATGTAATAAAGGTTTTAGCTTTAATTATTTAAAAGCTTGTTTAATTTTTTTAGCTTATTATTAAATAGCCCCTGGCCTATTTTAATAATAGCTAGAATAGTTATTAATTTGCTAATATCTTTTTTTTAAAGGACAAGCTTATCACGCCTTTTTTTTTAAAAAATACTAGGTATAAAAAAAAAACGCCTGGAAAGGCCCCTGCTTTTATTCTTAATATTAAATAATAATTTTTTATTACGGCCTTATTATATAGTTAGTTATTATTTTTTTTTTTTAAAAAAAATAAGAAATCCTTTTTTTTTTAATATTTTAACTTTAATATAAACATAGTTTTTTATTCTAAATTATAATTTAGAATAAATTTTAATACCAAGCCGGCGGCGTTCTAGCTATAGTTTATTAAACCTTAAAATTTTATAAAAAAATAAAAAAGGTAACTACTTTATTTATGGCCTTAGGTATAATTTTAAAACCTTATAAAATAAAAAATCTTGCACCCCTTTTTAAAGCCATAGGTAACTAGTTATAATTAAGTAGTGGTTTAATAATTTTTTAATAATATTAGTAGTTTATTAAACCTTAAAATTTAATAAAAAAAAAAAGGTATTTAACTTAGCAAGGTTATTACCTTTTTTTTTTAAACTAGTGGTAGACTAGTATTATTATAGCTAGTTTTTTATAATTTACTAGGGCTTTTTATACATGCTTAAAATTAAAAAGTAATTTTTATAAATTCTTATAGCTAGGCCAGCCCTTTTACTTAATAAAAAATTTATTATATTTATAAATTTATTATTTTTTAA